GAAAACCTCCCTTATTAATTGCACAGGACTCTCAATAATGCACAGAACACCCAACACAAATTAGAAGTTGCGTTCTCGTACTTCGAACGCAATAACATTCTGGCTCACAATAAATGTAGTCAATTTTAACTATTAATGTAGTAAATGCAATATTATCATCAAATGAAGTTTGAGATTGTCAGGAGGTTTTCAGCCAATGTTTTTTTGAGGTTTTGACGGTTAATTTTTGTTATAAAATCAAGTCAGAGAGGATTGGGTAATAAAACATATTCTTTCAATATTTCTGTTTATTTATGCAATCCGCTTTCGATACTTATCCCATTATTATGTTATAACTGGATACTGCTATCAGGAGGAGAGTAGATTTGACTATTGGGGTTTCTTCCTCCCTTTTTTGTGGCGAGAGGAGGGGGGTTCTAAATAGTCAAAAAAGGTGATACTTAGTGTCTTACAACGGCGGTAATGTGGGAGAGAGGAAAGTGGAAGTGAATTCCGAACCCCCCTAACCTTATCCTCAAGCGGGCAGTCGTTACACATACGAAGAAAATACCGTATTTATTCGATTAACCGCCCTGGGCGCTTATTGAATTTTGGACCTTGAGAGTGGGCACTTATTGGAGGTGAGCGCTTATTCGAGGCTGTGCGCTTATTAAATTCTCAACATTTTCAGCAAGTGTAGTATGTTTATTTTGCAACAAAACAATAAATAGTAAAAACAAAACGCGAATATGTAACAAAGCAAGGTTTCTGTAAAATACTCTAAAGAAAACTCCGTCTTCGGAGAAGTATATTATTAGTACTCATTCAATTTTGGGGGGTGTGAGGGGATAGGAAGTGGGGTGGGGGTGGGCGCTTATTCGAGGCTGGGCGCTTATTAACTTTTTCTGCCTTTAGGATGGGCGCTTATTTGAGGTGGGCGCTAATTCGAGGTTGGGTGCTTATTCGAATAAATACGGTACATACGAAAATTTGAAAGCAAATTGGTTTGGTTATTGCGTTCGAGGTACGAGAACGCAACCCCTAATTTGTCTTGGGTGTTCTGTGCATTATTGGGTGACCTGTGCAATTAATAAGGGGGTTTTTTTGAGATTGCATTTTCGTTCGTCGTCGACACACCTTTGCCTCGCTTTGAGGCGCTTGCTTAAGTTTTGCCTCACTTTGACGCGCTAACTCATTTGGTGATTCTTGTGTCCTCGGCGTTCATCTTTCAAAGGTTTGCTAAGGT